GGAGAATAACACCAGTTATAGAGGAATACTTCAGATTCCAGCAATAATACATTATATACAGCGCAATGCAGAATACCAGCAGCTACAGAGGACTACAAATCCCAGCAATAGTACATTATAGTATAATATACTATTGCTGGCATTTGTTGTATTCCTATATAGCTGCTGGTATTCTGTATTGTGCCGTATAATCATTATACAGCGCACTGCAGAATACCACCAGCTATAGAGGACTACATATCCCAGCAATAATAAATTATACAGTGCAATGCAGAATAAAGCCAGCTACAGAGGACTACAAATCCCAGCAATAGTATATTATGGTATAATGTACTATTGCTGCAATTTGTTGTATTCCTCTAAAGCTGCTGGTATTCTGCACTGCGCCGCTGTATAATGTACTATATTGGTTAATCGGACATTGTTTTGTCCGATTAACCAATTAATCGAACGTAATAATCGGCTAACTAAACGATTTTGAAAATAATCGTTAGCTGCAGCCCTACCATATTCCTCCTCATTCCTAAAAGATGCAAAACATCCATGTTTTTGGTCTGCTGATGTACCCTTTTTCCTCCCCCCCGCAGACGCATAGAAGCCCTTTCTTTTTGGCCTGCTAATGCACCCTTTCCCCCCTGCTCCTTCTTAAGGGCACATAACAGATGTTCATTTTGGGGTCTGCTGATGGGCCCTTTTCATCCTCCCCCTCAAGGATGCAGAGAAGCTACTTGCCTTTCCAGTGCCAATCCTGCAGCCTTTTCCTCCTCCTCCTCCTCCTCCTCCTCCTCCACTAGGCCTATCCCTGTCAACTGGATATGAGGAGTCGGCTGAAATTTTGTTGGCTATCCCCAGGGCTGATCCACCCTATGCCCAGCAACTTCATGCCAGCTTTGCATAACACCCTGTTTAAATCTTTTTTTTTCTGTGCTACACCGCACTGTAAGGTACCCAGCCACAATTATTTTACCCAGGGCATGCACATGCCACTATTACTTTGCACAGAAAGCCATCACTGCCCTCCGCCAGCATGTGGAATGTCATGAGGCAGCAGGAGGCCCCCATGCAAGGAAAAATTTAGTGAATCTACTGCCACCATCCCAGAGCAAGCCTATCATGTTCCACTTTGAGGATGTGATTTGCAGCAACCTCTGTGCTCGCCCTTCCAACACAGGGGGAAGGGCAGAAAGCAGCAAATGGAGCAGGAAAAATGTTCTGGCCGTTAGGAGGAGTGTTGGAATGCTGGCAGTGAAGAGTAAGTGATAAAGTTCATTAAAAACCTAATGTGTGGTATGCTGTGCATTAACATTACTTGCGGTTGGGCAGCCCATTCATTTTGAATAGGCTGCTTATGTACCTTACTGTAATCTTTTTTGGAAACAATGGTTCTCATCTGTGCATTAGGGTGCATTTAGCAAGATGCCCTGAAATTAAACATAGTAAATGGCACAGTAAGGTGTCATAATAAATGGCAAAGCAATGCTGACTATGCATTAACTTAAATTGCATTAATGTGAGGTAAAACCAGCCTAAATGTGTTGTGCTCTGCAAGATTCAAGTATTGGCAAAGAACAAGAGTAACACCTATCATTCTTTCTAACATTACAGCATACTGATTGCTACAAATTGCAAACAATTTAGCTTTCCTAGCCATCTTAAATTTTGTGTTACTTATGTCAAGACAGCCAAATATAGCACAGCAAGCAGGAAGAGGATTTTTGGCAACTGCACCATAAAAACAGTTGTCAACGGATTCTTGCTGAAGGAGAAGGATTTGCACTTGTGGAATTCACCCAGTAAAGTCAAGGCCACCTGAATGTTCCTGATTTAATACTTCACCAATAGGGTTGATTTACTAAGGCCTGGTTCACACCTAGGTGTTTTTGAGCAATTCGAAAAGCGCTTTTAACTGCCCAACAAAATAAAGCACTTTTATCTGCCCAAAGAAGCTCCTGTACCTTTTCGGGCTGCTTAGGTGTGAACCAGGCCCATTGAAAATTGTGGGATTTTTTTGCCCCATAGAACTAATTGGAAATGCCCAAAAATGCGCAACAGAAGCATGTTGTACATTTTCGTGAGCATTTTTGCGCGTTTGTATGCGCGTTCTTCCATTGCCCACAATGGTTTATGAGCTGCCAATCAAAACGCACATTAAAATGTACACAATATGCCACCTAGTTGTGAATCCAGCCTAAAGGAGCAGAGCAAGATCACTTTGCAAAGTGAATTTTGAGTGGTTGAATAAACCACTCAGCACAGCTTCACCTCATTTGCCCATAGTTTATTGAAAATGTAACTTTGACGAGAACAACCTATAATCCTTTAGCAAATCAACACCGGTGTACAATAGTTTACACAAAAGAGAAAATGAATCATTGTACCTACCATGAAAAAAAATGAAAAGCTCTAAAACAATATACCTCTTAACATATGGAGCTGTATATTCACAATACATGCAAAATCTAGTTATTAATTCAACCTTAAAATAAAATTACAATCATTTCAATTCTAAAATCTTTTATTTTTTTTGCTGTAATAAAATATGGCATTAAAAAGGTAAACAGCTAAAGATGGGAACAATTATTAGAAATACAAATAAGAGCATTCAATTTCTAGACATATACTTTGCACCCATCTTATAAAACAAAAGTAAAAGTTCAAAATTTAAAAGGAACTGAAAACAAACTGGTAAACTTAGATTTTGGCTTATGGAATCTGTTTTCACAATCACAAAACCTCCAGCAAACGTATCAACTTACAACAAAAAGTGCAGAATATACATTAATGGCAATGTATGTTTAGGCATCATGAAGAGTTAACAGTTTCTCTATTTACATTCCAGAAAGATCATTACCCGTTGCCAAGACACCAACCAGTTCATCCAAGCGATGTAGATTATGTCCATGTGGTTACGGTTCAATTGGAGGAGTGAGAAAGGTTGTTTTACACCAACACCAGAAATTTCAAGATTAACATGGACCATCAATGACCAACCAGTTCATCAAATCTAGATTACACACAGTAAATTGAATGAATTGATCTGGTCAAAATATATAACAATGAACGTGCACCAAAACCAGAAGACAATGGAAGCCTTTAATGTGTCCCCTAATGTTAAAGGGATTGACCATGAAAAACAAATGATTTCTGTTATGACTGAAATTCTTCCCCCAATTTGGATTTCTATCTGAACACAACCTAAATGGAATGTCTCTCCAAGTGCAGTTGTTGGAGTCTCACTCCTCCTTCTGTATTCTATACAATTTAATAAAACATCCTACAGATAGATCAGAGGTTGAGGTAGACCATATTGTAAGGCTCGTATAAGGTTAGTTTGCAAAATCAAGGGCAGATAAGTGCTAATAGTTCAAATAAAAATGGGGGGGATTACGCCAGCATCTACCCAAAACTGAAATATAGCTTTTTTAAAAGGACATATCCTTTAAATAGTATAATGTCTAATTATTTTTATATATGTACTAGCATAGTAAAAAAAAACTGTCCATTATGCTGTAATTTAATCAAAAGGGTATACAGTATTTCATGTGAAATCATGTTAATAAAGTGTCCATGCTAACAATTTTTTTTTCAATTATCTTGCTTACATTTATAGTATTGTTTTACTTACAGTGTCAGCAGTCCACACCACTGCACTCAGATCTCGAAGAGTGTCCGCCTGTACAATCTCACTACAAATCCCAGTTTTGTTTTTTGTGGTCTGGTGTGGTCTGAAGTGATTCAATTGCAGTGAGTGGCTGCAATAAAGTGTGTGCCAAGGCAATAAAAACATATGCAGTACATGCACCATTACTGAAAAATACCTGTTGATCTGCACACAGTTAACATAGAGGGGAATTTTTTTTTAAACTGGAGCAGACAAAATCTGGAGCAGCTGTGCATGGCAATCAGTTTCTACCTTTCATTTTCAAATCTTAACTGAACAAATTGAAAAGAGAAGCTAGTTGGTTGCCCTGGGCAACTGCTCCAGTTTTTTTTCTGCTCCAGCTTTGATAAATTCCCCCCACAGTGTTTTTCTGGACTGAGTGTTGTCAGCCCTGCCCAATGTCTGCCTTGGATATAGTACAACTCTAACTATGTGATAAAAATCATTTTTGTACTTCTTAAACAGATAAGAAAATTGTAAATTAGACCAAAAGGAAGCAAATAGGAGAAGTATTTTTTTTAGGAATTTACACAGACTGTAAGCGGTGCAGCCAGTGTGGGGCCTGCCCTTTCATTTACCATGGAGTAATGCAATAGGAAAATAGGTGGGGAAGGCAAGGCCATCAGGGCTTATTCTACTGTCACTGCTGCATGATTACTGTTTTGTCTATAGGACATTAACTATATGTACGACCTGAGAAAACAAAAATCAATAGCCAATATGTTCTGTAAAACGTACTGTATGTATATTAAAAAGCTATGCATTCACACATACATCTATATGTATATCTTTTTGTATAGGTGTGTATGCATGCATTTATAAAACGTCACAACACTTGAACATAAGGAAATGTGTATACACATACTACACACAGCACCATCTATAAAGGCACAGTAATTTAAGGCTGGGAGGTGCCATGGCAGGGGTAAGCAACTTTGGCGCTCCAGCTGTTGTGGGGCTACAAGTGCCATGAGGCATTGCAGAACTCTGACAGCCCCAGGCCTGACTCCGAGGCATTATGTGATTCTTGTTTCACCACAGCTGGGGTGCCGAGGTTGCCTACCCCTGTGCTATGGTGATGTTCAGGTCTGCAATCAGTGAAGCTCACTGCTTAGGAGCATGATGACGCAGACCTGTAATTCTGTGTAATGAAGGGGTGTTGCTCATTGCTGCAGTAGACAGACCACTGGTACACACAGGCTAGTGTATCCTACTGAGGAACACAGGTTTTTTTTCACTGGTTCTGAAACTCCACTAGCAATAGAAAAGGCATATAGGAAATATGTGTTTTGCTGCAATTAGGCTTTATAAACAAGTAATTCAGAGTAATGTCTATTGTTCATTCCTTTAGAATGCCAAGCTTTTTCAAGGCTTGCCGTCTGTGTTCATCTGTGGATCCTTTAGGTGCAATCTTAACGCTTGTGACAGGACCAGACTGACGAGATGGCCTTGAGAAAAAGGAATGCTTCTCTGTATTGTCTGCAGCTGCAGCACTATCCTCTAGGTTCGCAAAGTCTTTCCCTGTGCCAAGGGATGCTGGTCTTGGTCTGTTATTTCGCAAGAAATTTCCAGAGAATAGCGGCTTCTTAAAAAAAGAGGAATGGCCTCCCTTTTCAATACTCGAAAGAGAGCTACTAAGACCCATCCCGGAACGTTCCAAAGTATTTGACTTGATGTTTATTTGTCGCATACCAGGGACCGAACCCTGGGGAAGACACAAGTATGGTTCATCAGATGCTTCAAAATGAGTGCTGTGTCTATTGCTCTTGTCAAAAGGCAGCCCGCCCTTCCCATCCCTATAAGAAACTTTAGGACTGTGTTGAGTAACCAGCGGTTCTTTTGGAAGTGAAAAACTTGAATTATTCCTAGGACTGGTACTAATTATGTTAATATTTTCTAAAGAACCTGTTTTATATTCTTGGGCTAGGATACCCTGAAAATGATCATTTTTTTTAAAACGCTCAGATATTTTGCCAGGCGCTGGATTTTTCTCCATGGGTGTGAATGCTTGAACAGGCGCTGTGTTTGTTTGCAACTTCACAGAATTTCTACTTCTATCTTGATTAAGATTCAGAAAGGAGTCTGGATGATCAGGTTCAGTAGTCACATTATTTTCTTTTCTGTAAAGAACTGGGTTCACCTGTGAGGCATTTCTATCAGATTTTACATACTTGGAATTATCAGTTACATCATGCATATCAGTTAAAGATGGCGTTATCAGTCCATCTGGCTTTTCCTGGGTGCTTGCCTTCTCACTGTGTTTGGTCTTTACAATGATATCACTGGTAATAGGGCCATGTGTTTCTTTCTGATTAACTAAAGGAGTAACACTAGCAGGCACATCAACTTTCTCAAACATTGTTGTCTTCATGCTTAGCCTATTCCTAGCAAGCACTTCATTTTTTATATTCATGGCAGTTTTCTGAGGTACTACAAGAGGCTGTACTGGAATACTACTTGAGGAATCTGTTTTCTCTTGCTGATTCATAAAACTTTTCCTTTTAGCTTCTTTTTGCCATTGATCACTTCCATATGGTGCTGCAGGAAAGTCTGTTTTGGATGGTGGAATGGAATTATGTTCCGGATTCCTAGTTTTCTCCTCCAAGCCTAATTTTTTAAGTGCCTCATGCCTGGCTGTTTCTTGTTCTTTAGAATGCAGAAGAGTTGTGATCACAGATTCATTAGCTTTTTCTGTGCTCCTTTCATGTGCTGAAAATGTTCTTGGTCTTTTCTGTGGGTCTAAATTTTGAATATTTCCACTGCTTGTTTTAATAACTATGTGGGGTGGTAGTGTACGTGGCTTGGGTGCTGTAGGTGGGCCCTGTTTAAATTGGGTCTCGGAAGGCTTTTCTATGGCTTGATTGCGAGGCTCTTGTTCACCAGTTATGAATTTACTTGGTGAAGACACTCTTGGGAATACAGGCAGTGGTAGTTTTTGGTCAGATTCCTTTATTGTGGCTGGTGCCTCTTTATGTTCCGAAATGATGGCAGATTTCAGTACTTGTCTAGTTAATCGGACTTCACGTGAATCTGTGGGATCAGTGACAGAATGTCGTTTGTCTACAGTTTGGGGGTCTCTGAAAGCTTCAGGAGGTGGTAGAATTAAGAACTCGGACAAATGAGATTCTCCTTTGTGCTGGGGATTAATTGAAGACATCCTTTTAGGTTTCTCAGGATATAGCTTCAGCTGGTCTTTTTTGGGAGCATCCTGCTTGTAGTCAAATGGTTCCTTTGTGCTTTCTTCTTTGGGAACTTGGACTCTTGGGAAACTGTGGTGTCCCTTTGAAATTGCACTGAAGTCAAAAGCTGTATTTATCCATTCTGCCGAATTAGGTAGTGCTGTGTTCTTTGATGATGTTTTCTCATTGCCTGTAACAACAACAAAAAATAACTTTGACATATTTCTTTATCAAACATATTCACTTATTATGATCAGACAGATTTCCTAGTAAATTACATTTTGCTTTGATACCATCAGGATACTACAAACATAACTTTTCAAAAAGATGACAATGTGTTTATACAATAAATTCACACCAAGTTTAAAAACCTTTTTTGGCCATAGTTCTCTTCACTGTCACAGGAAGACATATACTAATTGCCTGCTATATGCCGAGAGTGCAGAGGCGCACTGCAGCCAGGATGGATACCGACAGATAGAGAAACAGAGAG